AGGGGAGAAGAGTGATTTATTTTTGAAACTCCCCGAAGAAAGGCCAAGAGAAGCTGCGTAAAAGATCCCGGAGCATGTGGTTGGAGGGATGGGAGATAAATATGTCCGTACACATTTAGCAAGTGTCAACGCCAAGTCTAGAAGCCAGGACGGGTCTGCAGGGGTTGGGGAGCCAGGTGGGAGGGCAGCGGTAAATCCATTCTTCTGCTCTTCCAAGATAGAATATTAAATGCCAGCAGGGAGCAGATGTGGGCAGGGGCTGCAGAGTGGGGGCGGGGGGAGCGTGAAGGCGCAGACAGAGCGGGTTAAGCGTTTGTCTCAATGGAAATTAACCACTTGGGGAGAATTAAGAGAGAGCTGGAGCGGGTTGGGAGGGGGCGGAGTGTGGAAAGTGTCTCCGTGTATTTAAAGAGAGGAACTCTTCTGCAGCGAGGATTTGTGGAGGACATTCAGTAAAATGAGGTGAGCGGGCAGCAGAGAGCAAGGCGGGGCGTGCCCTCCGCCGCCCCCTTGGCCCCGCCCCTGCGGCACCAACCTTCTCCCTCCGCCCCCAACGCCTGGCCTTAGCCGGCGGGCGCGGAGGGCCAGCCGGGCGGGGGAGGGAGGCAGTGGGATCCAAGCGCCAGGCGCATTGTGGGCCGCGCTCGCCTCCGCAGGGGACCATCTGCTCGCTGTCAATGCATCACCTGCTCGTCTGGGCCGTCACCGGGGCAACGGGGGGTGGCGGGAGGGGGGCGGATTAAGGAGCGTGTGCGTCTCCAGTCTCCACTCTGGCTGCAGCGGCGGCGGGGCGGGAGCCACCGAAGACTAGCCTGCCCGGCGGAGGGGGTCAGCGACACCTTCGCAGGCTCCGCCACTTGCCGCTGACCTTCGGGCTTGCAAAGGCACCCGAGCTGCCTCCACTCCAGGAGGAAACTGGAGTCCAGAGCTGGAGGAGCAGAGGGCAAAAGATGTGGCTCTGCGAACCCACCTAGAGGGGGAGAACTGCAACCCCCCTGTCTACCTGCAGCTGCTTGGGCCACGTCCCAGGTGCGCCTTTGGCAGCCACCTCCGAAGGAACTGTTCAGCCCAGCCTGGTCCATGGGGGCATGGAGCAGCATGGTTCTGAGCACCCCGCAGTCGCTGGGCAACCACAATGGAGTCAGCACCTCGGGTAGAACTTGCCACCCAAGTCACAGATAACTTCCACACCTCTCATCTGACATTCTGGTCTTGCCGCCTGATGGCCAGACTGGGGGAGGCCTTCCACAACAGAATATGAGTGACACCTGTCCTTTGGGAGGAGGGAGGGTCCTGAGGTTTATCAAAACTTGTTGATTTCCTCCAGAAATCCTGAAATCCCCCTTTCTCTTCCTCGTACAAGAGAAGTGCAATGAGTGACGGGCCAACAGGGGGCAGAGCTAGGCTGTGGATGGGAACAGTGTCTACTTTGTGATAACATTTACTGCAAAGTCATGCTTGCTCTCTGGTTTAGAAACTTCCAGGCTTTTCTGCTCTCTGCCTTTCTCCATCTCCACCCCTAAGTGGTCAAGAACACTAGTTGCATTAATAAAGGTTAGTCACATATGCTGGAGGATTCCATGCTCTAAACAAAGAGGAACAGTTAAGTGCCCCCAACATAAGTTTTCCATAGACTACACGGATCCAAGGTGTTAGTTGTTAAGCTTTAATCACAACTTATAACATCTTTTTTTTTTTCTTTCTGAGCTGGCTAATTACTGTATTCTCTGTAGAATAACAGAAGCAGCAGAAAGTTCAAATTCACAGAGTCCCAGGCTGGATCTCCCAACCCCAGACCCACATCTAAAATGTTCCCAGCCAGGTAAAATACCAGCTTGTTTCAAACAAATCTCTAGGACAAGAAAGTCCCAAATCTTTGTCATTAAGTCTCATTCCAGGACCTGGTGACTCTTGAGGAACCAACAGTCTTTCTTTGATTAGCTTAGTAACATATACCCATTTACTACAGTTCTGTTTTCCGAAGAAACAGAGAAACTGACCCCTTTTCAAAGCAACCCTTTGCGTTGAAGGTATTATTAAGTTGTCTGCTAACCATCTCAAAAATTCTCCTGAAAAGTTACACCAAATACAAATTCGTGACATTGACCCCATGTATCTTCTCCAAACAAAATCTCATTGCTAAATACAATTTCTCTCATATTTACCTGATTTCTAGATATAAAACCATGAATTAGATTAATTTTGATTAAAGAGAACTTTTAAAATTTTACAGTTACCTCATTTGTTTGCTGTTTCTATCATTTATGTGCAAATGGAAGAAGTCAACTATATCTGTGTGCATTGAGATGAAGGGAAAAAGGGAGTGTGTAATGTAGAAACTTGCTCAAAAGATAAAGAAAATTCTACCCATCCGCAACTGCTTTCAATTGTGACTTTTACGAGTTAAAGTTGAGAATTCTAAAAAGGCATGCTGTGTGATTCACAGGGTACTTCTGTGAAAGAATCACGGTATCTTAAAGAAGGATGGGAGGATAGGACCTGACACTCTGCCCCTTGGCCACAGCCTTTCCACTTAAAGAGAGATGAGTTTGAGTCCAAACATCCCATCTACAGACAAGGTGATTGTAACAGAAAGATAAGTGACCAGCCCAGGATGGTTACAGACAGTAGCTGGGGGTGCCCAGAGCACTTTCAGCCCCACTAACCTGCCAGAGGAACAGCTTTCCACATTAAGAACACCTCGAGATGCCCTTTGTCCACTCTATTCCCACTCCTACAGCTGCTGGCCTCACCGCAGGGATAATAAGAACTCTTCTCCAAATTCCACAAATAATCATCAAACACCTGCCACTTGTCAGGCAAGCTAGACAAAGATTCCCGCTTCTACGGAGCTCACTGTTTCATAGAGATATATCGATTTTAAAAAACTACTTGCCCAACAAATTTTTTGAGCACCTGCTCAACTACTATGGAAACATAAATGTAATTGAGATATGAGTGCATCCCTCAAAAAAAAAAGAGAAAACACACACACAAAAAACCAGAATATTGTAATTAATTAGAAAATAATATCAGTATGGAAAACTATCATGGGAGTGTAGAGGAAGCATCAGATCATTTTGCCTGGATAATGCTGTGGAGACGTCATGCTAAAGTAGGGTTCTCCGGCCCCGACAGCTGGGCACATAACAGAGGCTCTCTAGATAGCTGCGAAAGGAACGAATGATGTATTTTCCAAGTAGACAAAGGGAAGGTATTTCAGGTAAAGATATTGCAGTATAGGGCAAGGCTCCAGGACATATTGTTTAAGGAACAATGAGTGAGAAATTCACAGAGAGAAAAACAATACAAGGAGAAAGAGGAAGATGGAATGCTGGTGTAGAGGCATGTGGAGAAGGGATTTGAAAATCATGCCAGGAATGTGGACTTTGTCTTCAGGACCAATAATTTTTTTTAACAGCAGAACCCTTGTTTTAGACAGAATGTTGTGAATAAGCCAAATGTAACAAAGTCAACCAAAGTAGACTGCCTTAGTCCAAACAGGGATAGGACCTGACACCCTGCCCCCTGGCCACAGCCTTGCTATCTAAGGACTGGGGGGGGGGGGGGGACCTTGGTGTGTCCCTTGGAACACTGCTCAAAAACCGTGGGCAATGGGTCATCATTGAATATTATTAGACACGAGCATGTTGAGTTTGGATGGGAAGAAGTCAAGAGCAGTTGGAATGCTATCAAAGTTGCCCAAGCTCAAAGTAATTAGGACTTAAATTAAATGAGTAACTGAAATCAGGGAATGAAACAGAAGATAGATTTTAAAGATGAAATCCTTAATATGTATGCTTTTTCTGCTTTAAAGAAGATAATTTCCCCTCTGGTACATCTAAATTTTGGATATTTTAAAATGATAATAACCCTGTCTGGTGTTGCTCAGTGGATTGAGTGGTGCTGGCCTGTGAACCAAAGGGTTGCCAGTTCCATTCCCAGTCAGGGCACATGCCTGGGTTGTGGGTCAGGTCCCCAGTAGGGGGCGTGTGAGAGGCAACCACACATGAATGTTTCCTTCTCTTTCTCCCTCCCTCCCCCTCTGTCTAAAAATAAATAAATAAAATCTTTTAATAAAAAATTTAAAAATGATAATATATAACAAATTGTGCACCATAACTGCTACTATGGCCAGCACATTCTCACACCTGCCAAAGTTTGCAAAAAATACAAATTCCTTTGTATTTTTAAAAGATGGTTCGTATGTCAAAATGTAGATTTTAGGATCCTAAGATGAGCAAATAAAAGATTTAGAAAGATAAGTAAAAGGAGGGCACTGATGAGAGGTATCTAATACTTCTTTAACTTACCAGGTGAACCAATTCAGGGGCAATAATCAGAATTATGGTGAATGGGGACCCTTCTCCTCACCTCCTCAAATGTAAGGATGCAAGTATTTACTCAAAAGTCATATAAAATTCATCATTGCTCACTCACATTTAGATACAATTACCCCCTCAAATCCCCTCACAGGTAAAAAAGTTTGTGATTTGAGAAATCGATGACCCTTCTGGACTGGGTAAAAAAAAATCTGCTCACACAAGATAAGCTAATAGAAGGGAGGCAGCAAAGAGGAGCTGGGAAGCTGAGGAAATTCGCATGATGAAGATAGCTGGCATTTAGCCAAAAGTGAAAACTATAAATATTAATCAGATGAGAATCAGTGTCACTTTACTGCAAGAGTGTTCTGTAATTAAAAGGGTGGGTATTGTGTTGTGCATTTTAGCACAATTGCCACCAATAATATTGGATGCCAGCGGCTCCCAAGTGCTGGAAAGATTCTTAAGAATGTCACCCAGCAGAAAGTTTACTACATAAGCATCAGCCATGTATGTCAAATTCAAATGATACTTCAAAATGAGGGAGAATGAATACCAGGGCTCAAAATTGTGTTTCTGTCTTTAAAAGTCAAGACAAGATGAAATATTTGTTGGACACCTATTATATGCCAGGCATTTAGTAAACACTTTCCATACACCATGTCACTTACTCCTTACCTCAGACCTGCAGAAAAGTTGTCATCATAACCACATTCAAAGATGCAGCAGTTGCAAAGTTGGCTTTGCAGCACAGGCTGTGGCTGTGGGTGTGTCTGAAGTGGAGCAGAGATGAGATGTGCCGATGTTGGTGAAGTTACAAAGTCACAAGATTAGGATGCTTAATGGGTCGTCCATGTGAGCACTGAGTCTCCCAGGAAGCTGATGACCCTTGGAACAGAAAGGAAGGTTGAGAGGGAGGCCCCAAAGCTCTAATTTGGGGAATTCAGCAATAAATCTATTCACTGTTTGGGCAAAGGATGTTCATGCAACATACCAAGAATGTCAGAGAAAAGGGGCTTATTGGAAATCAATGAAGCAATGCTGGAAAGAGGCACAAGGGAACAGAAATATGCTGTTCCCTTCTTCTCTGTGTGCCTAGGCTGGATGAGAGAAAATTAACATCTTTTACTCCAGGAGGGTGAAAAAGAAGTTATCTCTTTAAAGAAAGACAGCATTTTAGTTAGGTCAGAAGTGGAGGGACCTTTGAATGAAGAGGCCAGAAATGTAGAGCAGTTCTGATTAGGTTACACTCTGATGTCTCTCTTGCCTACAGTCTAAAATCCAGGTCATTAAACCTTGTTCAAGGCCTCCATGATATGTTCTTGTCCAGTGGTGCCCTAGTAAATGTTTAACAACAGGCTCTCTGGGAGAAAAAGGCCCATATTTTGTAGCAGTTGCCAATTTCCCTTGTGTAAACACTCCACTGTGATTGATCTGAAGCTTCTAATATGACAGCAGTAAGTGCAAAGCTGGGGAAAGATGTACACAATCTCTTCTGATGAGCCAGAGCAAGTTAGCTCCAGAGTATCACTGGCCTTGTCTAGTTCATATTTTCCTGTCACTGCTTCTCACTCTGTACTCTTGTCCAAAGGAAGTCTGCTAACTTGTGCAAACTCTACTTTGCACAACTCTACTTGTGCCACGCTAACCACAGTTGTCATGGGTGTGTACATATGACTGTCCTCTCAGATGGCTGTGAAGTACACAGAGAGGGAGACGTTCCTCAAACGTGCACAAAAGCATCATTTGCTTGTCATGCTCCTCCAAGACCACATACAGCAAGTCACAAGCCAAAATCAGCCAACAAGACACCTTTTCTCCAGCTGACACTGGGTTAAAAGAATGTTTGCTTTTTAAAAACTAGTCTGTCAGCATTTAGAAGTAAGGAAATCAAAATCCGAATTTCTCGATTCTCTCAGAAAAATCAGAGCAGGCTGCATTATTAACATATGGAAAGTGTCTACACCTACCACAAGGCAGTCGTTCAAAAGATGTCAGTACCATCAGCTCCTCCTGGCTGATATTTTATACTTGCCATTTTTATCTTGATATCGGGGAATCCATGTCATCTGAACTTTATCTTCCCTGGCAGCTCCTCACTCACCTTCTCTCAGTTGCTGGAACTGTCTTTCCACCTCAGGATTTTGCATATGCCATTCTTATCCCCAAAACACTCCACTCTCCACCCTCTTCATTTGGCCAACTGCTTCTCATCTTTCTATTCCAACTTAGACACAATCTCCACCATCAGCTCACAACAGGACTCCCCAATAGCCTTCAACCTGCCCCTACCTGTGCTATGCACCATAGAGCACTCAGAGTGTGAAGCACAGTACAATTATAAGGATACACAAACTCCCAAAAGCAGCCTTTAAAAGACTATGTGATTTGGACCCTCTCCTCATTCTTCAGTCACAGGTTTCCTTTCTCTTTCACAAACACACCATACTTGTGCTCTTGCTGATCCTCTACCTGGAATGTTCTTCTTCATAGATCACATATCTTTGTACCATTCAGGTCTCAGCACAAACCAATTGCACATCCTCAGAGAGCCCTTCCCTGGCCATCCACATAAAATAGCAGCCCTCCTCTCTGCAAGCCTCCCTTCCGCTACTCTCTGTCACCTCCCTGTGACTCTTTGTCAAAGACTCCAGATAACCTCACCAGACCTCCAACTCAGAATTCCTGGTGGCAGAACCTGTCAATCTGTCCTATCGCTGAGCTACCCTTGATGATTCTGAAGTGTACTAATTTGGGAAAGCCTAGACTGTGAGATAATGGGTGAGGACTGAATATCATGCATGGTAAGGAATGATTTATGGTTACTGTTTTGTTCCTTCTGAGTTTTTTTAGTTCAGGATCTCAGTGATAGTATGATATCACACATCAGTATAATTTTGCATAAATAAATTCTCAGCATAATTTTGCAGCAATAATTTCTCTATCATTCCCTTTCCTGCTTATCAGTGATTCCTAAAGTCTCAATCCACAAAATTCCAGAAAACCTATTAGAAACAAAACCAGAGCTCCCCCAATGCCTTTGAAGAACAGTTACACTTATACCAGTGAAAAGATAAAGGGTGGACACTCAGAGGTGAACTCAACAACTAACAGGATGAAAAAAATACAGACACACATTACAAAAAAAGCTGGAGAATCTGTGGGTACTTAGGAATCATGGGGAAAATATCTAATGTCATAAAAAATTATAAGGTTAAATGAAATCTTAACTCTTATGTAAAACAAAGACTAAAGGAAAAGTTGCCAGAGATCAACAAAGTTTAATAAATCCTGTGAGTGGAAGGATTATTTTCCTGCCAGGTGAACATGGGAGTCATGAAGAAATTATTTCCCAGCAGCTTTGCAAACTTTTGAGTTTGTCTTAACAAAATTGAAGCCCAAAATTATGTCATTTCCATGGTATGTTTCCAAATTTCATACTTAAATAGGAAACAAATGTCCCAAGTCAAATTTGAAAGCCCACATCCAATAACTGGAAGTGTAATTCAGTCAATACAAGACTGGCAATATTGCAATAATCCACGCACCACCAAGAAGAAATAAATGCCACTCTCCTCTGAAATGGCCTTCATGTCACGATCTGAAAAGAACCTCTCCTAGGTCCTTTCTTTTCTTTTACTGGAAATTACAGTTACTTACAAAAATTTGTATCTTCCATCCTGCACTATATTTTTATAGGCCAACATAATTCAGAAGAGTCAATAACCTAAGCATTGGTGGCAGGGACAGCTGGGTTCAAATCCCAGCTTGACCACTTGCCAACTGCATGGCCTTGTGTAAATTATTTGACCCCTCCAGGAGTCAATTTCCCCATCTATGAAAAGGTTATCACTTAAGAAATAATAATAGGTAATATTTATAAATGCTTATATACCAGGTAGGAACTAAGTGTTCTAAATATTTTAGTCGACTTTCACAGGAACCTTTTAAGGTGGCTACTGTTATTTTCCCTATTTCATAGATTAGGCAAATTGAGGCATAAGGATATTGAGCATCTTTCTCAGGGGATGGTACTCAAACCGAGCCCATCTGATGTCAGAATGAGATGGTGCCTGCGAAGCACTCAGCACAGCAGCTGCATGCCTGGGGGATCTTTTCACACCAGGGAGTCCTCATGCGGTCTTCCCATCTGTGCCATCCGGCAGTTTCAACCCCCAGCTACCTTCTGCTCCAATCATGCAGTGCATTTTTCCTGAAAAACTGGGAAGGGGGTAAACAAGCATAATCTGTAAAGTATCTTACTTCTTCTGAAGTTAATCACCACCCAACTGATAGCCTCAAGGAAGAACTGTTTTCCTGGAACAGTTCCAAACCTGCCATCTTCAAAGGAAATAAAAATCCATCTCAGCACCGGAGTTAGACTTGAACACATGTACACAGCCTTAAGAGTGTAATTTAAACAACAACCAGAAAAGTGTCCTTGTATTAAATACTGAGGATGCTGCCAAAAAAAAAGAGAGGGAGAGAGAGAATGGTACATCAAAGTGAGTTTCCACACATGAACAAATTTAGCATCAATTCTGAGCAGAGCAGGTACTGGATACAAGGCCTCTAGCTACGCTGACCCTAACGAAGTCTGTTCCCATTCTGAATTCCGGCTTAGAGCAGCGCACCCAGCTAGTTTTCAGAGGTCGCACCCATACGTGGAATATAACAAATCCCAACAGAGAGGCTTTCTCTTTTTTCTCCTAAACACATAATAACAATGTCCACATCTCACTTCATCTTAGACCCTTCGACTCTGAACGCGGGGGTTCTGACATAAAGATATAATTTTCTTAAATCCCCCTGAAGTAATCATTTTGTTTGTGATAAGATTACAGTACGACACTCCCACCCCGGGTTCCTTTATTTTATGCTGTAGGCTCAATACTTTATATTAAAAAATCAATAATACGTTATTTTGCCGCTTCTTTAATGGTCGCGATTTGGTTCTCGGCCCATCCTTAACCGCACCTGCACACACTGCAATTCTCTCTTGTATCCTGTTTACACAGTCAGGCCCAGTCCCCTCTTACACCCAGAGACTGCTCGCTGTTGGGTGCCCCCAGCTAGACAGTGAAAGACATTATTCAGTTACTTCGTAGAGTTTCCCCTCCGTGAAGACTGGGGACAGGACTAAGATTCCCAGCTTTCAAAAGGCTCACAGGGAACGCTCTATGTTTTAAAGCCCATGAAATAAATGAAGGGGGAGATAGAAACATCTTTGAGAAGAGAATGGAATTCCATTTACCCAAATTCTGATCTCATTATGATTTTAAATTGGATCCCAGTGATCTTTGGAAAGCCAAAAAAGTAAACAGGGCCTTGCCGGTGTGACTCACTTGGCTGAGTGTCATCCCTGAAAGCGAAAGGCCACCAGTTTGATTCCCAGTCAGGACACCCACCTTCCCTGAGGGCCCAGTCCCCAGGTGGGGCGCATGTTAGAGGCAACCGATAAATGTTTCTTTCTCATATCGATGTTTCTCTCCCTCTCTTTCTCCCTCCTTTCCCTATCTCTAAAAATAAATAAATAAAAGCTTTAAAAAAGTAAAAATGAACCCAAACAAAAGTTACATATATTTAATGAGATATGTTATATGATTTATAATATAATAATATACATTTATATAATTTATGTTGTAAATGTATTATAAAATATATGTAATAAAATTAATTACATAATTTGTGTATATATGAGGTCTGTCCAGAAGGTATCCAGCTATGTAATATGAAAAAATAGAGACATGTATTAAAGAAGATATAAGAAACATTGTACATAGGACAATGACACCTCACTCCCCTTCAAACTAGGCACCTTGAGACCTCACACGTTCTCCCAATTGCCATCAGCTTCCCCTTCGTATTTTCCTGAATTTCATCAATGGTGTGAAATCTCTTCTCTTCCGAAGGTGATTTTAGTTTTGGGAAAAGCCAGAAGTCACAGGGCCCCAAATCTGTGCTGTAGGGGGGCTGAGTCACCTGGGTGATCTGATGTTTCACCAGGAGACATGATCTATGAGCGAGCGCATTGTCATGATGAAGCTGCCAATCACCAGTTGCCCATATTTGCAGACTTCTGAATAATATGAATAGTTTCCACAGAGGAATGTTCAAGCTTAGCACAAAATTTGATGTAGATTCGTTGCTCTACTCGCTCAGTCACTTTGAATGCAACAGCCACACAGTATACATGCTCACTCAGTAGCGTCTACTGCCCCCACTGACTAGTACAGTGAAGTCATCATTATTCTTGCATGTGCATTCCATGCACATCTCTGTGGCTGCCAGGTTATATCAATGTTGTGCAAACTGTTCTTGTTATATTAAAAATGGCTGGACTTTTTCTGGACAGACCTCATATACATTTACATTTTATGTATATATACATATAATTGAGATGTAACAAAGATCGCCACACTGTAAAAATACTCTCTAACCCTCAAATGTCGGGTGGGGAGTGTAAGGTATTCCAAGCTGGATAGATCACTCCATTGATCAACTCCCATTTCTTTCTTTCTCCTAACTTCATCGTCACCCTCTCTAGAGGTGTAGATAGATGCATTCGGTTACTAAAAAGAGCCACTGGCATGTTAGTGCATCTGCAAAAAGTTAGTCTAACAAGAAGCAGAAATAGGCAGAGATGTTCCTTGGCTTCCAAGTTGGCCAATAATATCACATTTCTGGTACAGTTATGCGTTGATGATTTTTCCAATGGCTATTCTTCAAGTATTTAAAATTCTCACACTCTTATTTACTCTAAGTTTTAAACACATAAATATATTTTTTAAATGTACATGTACTCCCCACCCCTGGGGTTGGGGGTGGGGTTGGGGTGGAGAAGAACACCCCTGGCTTCCTGTATGTGCAGGACCTTCCCATGTGGATTAGCCAGATTTTCATTCCTATCACTTCTGTGTTTTTCTAAGGAACTCTGGTATATTTGGTTTCCTCCTTCTCGTTTTATTTTCAGGGATATTTTGGTTCCTTTCATGGACTTTATAGCAAACAGCCCTGTTGGCCTGCCCTCTTCCCATAAGACCTCTGGACTCTGAAAGGGTTGTTGGAGGAGGTGAAGGTGGAGCTGATCTAAACAGCATAGCAGATGCCTGTTGCTCTGTCTGCCCAGCATTCATTCCTGCTTCTTCAGGTGAGAGTTTGCTGATATTCCTTTGGGGAGATGCTCATCCTCCACTCTTAGTTCACGTGGCCAACGGGGCATGTGTCCCAGAACTGGCACAGGAACTGGTTCAGAGAAGGACGTGGAACCCCAGCCAGGCCGGGAGTCAGGATGTTGCATGAACCCAAAGGAAAAGGGAAGTCTCTTTCCATGACGTTTGTTAAGCTGGTAGAAGGGAAACTGTAGCTCCATTTCTTGCCATCACATAAGAAGAGAATGGAGCCACGGGGGCGGGGGGTGGGAAGACAGAGCAAAAAAGACTCAGAAGAGCATGACTTCATAACTTTTGTAGCCACACCTAAGGCAGATACGCCCCTGAATTTCAGTTACATGCACAGATACCCTTCCCTCTTTGCTTAAGCCCACCTGAGGTGGGTTTTCTGCTTTTCACAACTGAAAAAGTCCAGATTTATGAAAGCAGATTCCATGATCAACCTTCCCCTCAATAACAATAACAAAAAAAAATTTACCCTGAGATTACCCTTTTTCTAAGGATGGTTATGATACATCGCTGGATCTGGAACGCTCTAAGTAGGAAGAAAATTAAGACCCATTTGAACTAAATTTATTAACAGAAAGAGTATTCAGTCCTTCAACAGGTATTTATTGAGCACCAACGTATGCTAGACAAATCAGTGTGCCGGGCACAACACTCTGAACAAGAGGCATTGTCTGCCTCCAGATGCTCACATCCCAGTGGAGGGAAGCCAAAAATCAATGAGTACTATATAGCATGGTGACATGTGTTTTGGAGAAAAACAAAGTTGGGTGAGGAGCATCGAGAGTAGAGGATGTGTTGACAGGAGAGACCTCTCATTTAAGCAGGAAAAAGGAGAGGGTATGAGATCTGCTGCAGTGTGAGCAGCTCGGAGGGAAAGGTGCTCCCAGCAGAACACAGAGCAAACTCGAGTTCCAGGTGGGCATGTGCAGAGCAGGGCCAAGGAACAGCCAGGAGGCTAGTGCAGCTGGGACAAAGGGCGGTCAAGTCTCGGTTAAAAAGGAGGCTAGATCATACAGGGCCCACTGGGAATTTTGAGAACTTTACATTGACTCTGAGTGAGGGGGCAGCCACTGAAGGATGTTTGAAAAGAGGAGAGATGTGATCTGATGTCACTTAAAGGTTCGCTCTAGTTGCTGTATAGAAAATAGGTAAGAATTGGGGTGACAGAAGCTGAGAGGTAGTGTCCACAGGCAGCTGTATGCATGCCTGTAGATGAAAATCTCTGAATCCAAATGGTCTGTTAGAAGCCTGCTATATTGCTCTGAAGTGAACAACTGAGTATTCAAAAATAATTCCCAAATATACCTAGAAGAGTTCAAAACCTTTACTCAGAAGTAAAGAGTAGCATGTAAATAATTCTTTTTGACCCTCATAGTTCTAGATCAGTGGTCCTTAATCAGGGGCCATTTTGCCCCCCAGAAGACATCTGGCAATGTCTGGAGAACTTTTTGATTGTCACAAGTGGTGGGGGTGGGGAGAAAGGGAAGAAAGTGCTGCGGACATCTGTGGATGGAGGCCAGGGAGGCTATGAAACATCTATAATGCGCAAGACAGCCAGCCCCACAACAAAGAGCTATGCAGCCTCATATCCACAGTGCCGAGGCCGAAAAACCCTCGTCTAGAGAATGTAAACACTCCTTGTTCTCAGTTTCTCTGTCAGTGACTCTCAAATTTGCAATAAATTCAAAATCCGAGAAGCACAATCTGAGTTTCATTATTTTCCTCTTCAGCTAAATTATGTGAAAGGCAAAGGCTGGAGTTACTCTTTTACATTTAAAAACAACTTCTTGAAAAAATTAAAATGAAAAGTGGCCTATGCTCTCAGATACATTATGAGAGGGAAAATGACATAAGAATTTTCCTAAATTTGCAACAAGAAGAAGACTTCAGTTTTTTTAAGTATGAAAATGTCCTTCCAGGGCAACAGAAGTACCTGGCACAGATCTCGCTTTGGGGAGGAAAACGCCTTTGAAAACCCAACTCATTGTATAATTAAGTGATAATGAATGCAGAGCTGCACTTTGTATTCCATTCCAGCACATTGGAGTTGAATCTGAGCTTGAAAAGCTAAATCCCTCAATGCTTTGGCCCCTCATCAGTGAAGTGCAAATCAAGGCCTCCACTGCTACAGAAGGGGTGCTTCCAAAAAGAAGTGTGAACTACAAATATTATGTTTTCAAACTGCCTGCTTTCGAATGATATGCTAAGTTGTCTATGCAAACTGTATTTAATGAAAAGAAATGCTCCCTTGGAACAAGAAAGTAAACTATCATGCGGTATTTTATGCACAATGGAATGATATTCTTTAAAAAAAAAAAAAAAGAAGAGAGCTATTTCCATTTTATCTGGAAAATAGAAATGCTTTCTGGGTTTTTAGCTCACTGATGATTTCATTTAGAGGAAGAGTAAACAGCATGTTATACGGGTGCTCTAGTTAACACCATGCATGATGAAGACATGTGGCAGTGTATATGTGTGTTGGATTGAGCTCTCTACTGGGTTATAGAAATACAATATACAATATGCTACCGTTACTTCTTGAAAACTTATTTTAACAAAAGTTGAAAAAATTCTTTTTTAAATATATAATCTTTATTATGTTTTTTCCGTTACCATTTAGTCTCATATCCCCTCCCCTCAGCAATCACCACCGTGTTGTCCATGCCCGTGAGTCTTTTTTCTTTTTTGCTGAACCCCTCCACCCCCTATGGAGAAATTTTTTTTAATCTGCAACAAAATCTCAATAGAGGACCTGAAACCATAATAAATTCATAACTTGATGGGCTATTTAATATTTTATCATTATAAGTAAAAGATATAACATAGCCAGCCTGTGAATAGGCAATCATTCAAAGAAGCCACTATCATTTGATGTTTCTCTCTTGATGTTTAAGAACAAACAGAAAGTTAGAAGAGATGAACATTTTTTTGCTTCTATGAAATTGGCATGTTCTCAAAGAGGGGCTAAAAGCAAATCCACATACAAAGAACTTAGGAGGTAGGCCTGATGGGGAGCAAAACTGATCACCAAAGGTCTGTTCAAGTTCCAGTAGCATTTTTATAAATAGATAGGCTTTAATTGTCTGAAGAAAAACAGGGCTCTACAAATGACAAAAGTAGCGAGGAAACATACTTATTAGTTTAACACCAACTGATACCAGCAGATTTAATAGGAGAGGTTCTTGGCTTAGCCTTGTCCGCAGGCACAGTCCATGGTGCAATAAAGCCCTGGAAGAGAACCAGCCAGCCACAGGTCTATTAGAAGGACCACCAAGGAAGACCAAGACAGCAGTCAGACAAGGCTGCACAGACCAAGCCATCCAATCAGTCCATTTGCCACACAGTGATGACGCAATAACAGAAGGAAAACATTTAGACAAGCCTGGTTGGTGACAGAGTAAGACGGATCCAGCATACACTTCTCTTTTCCGTTGTAAATGTACACACACCCAAGTCTATCTGCCTGAGAACTCTCTGAGACAAGCGAAAAGCTTTTTCTGCTGGCCCTGGTCTAACCATTGTACTGAATCATGAAATCGCATACCCACCTCCCCCCACCTTCCCTGCAAGCCAACACCCTGACACCAACAAAACTAGGGACCGGGAAGTTTGCAGCCTGCAGCCAGGGTGGCTCACCTGAGATTTTGGTACAAGTAGTCAAGGCCACAGCACGGAGAGCAGATGGGAAGAAGGACTTTGGGATGTTTTTGCAGGTGCCAAACATGAAATGTACTCTGCCCGCTTAAAGTTCAGGAGTGGCGTGATCCAGCTGATGATGACCCGCAAATCAAATAGACAATTTCAGTTGAGTGGTTGGAGAGTTACATGGGCTGAAACTTCTTTTCTGACATTTTCTCATTGAAAGATACCCACAGGACAGCCCAGTGGCACGAGAGAGGCTGGCCTTGGGGCATATCCAGCTATAATATAATCAAGCTATGCTTTGGATTATTAATTTTTAATGAGAATGTCTTTTCTCTCAAACTGGATTATATAATTCTTATGTTTTTTTATCCCAGGCATTTAGCTTTTAAAGACAGACTTAAGCAAGGCCCTGCTTACAGGAAAGAATAGACCCATAAAGGACATATTTAAGATTTGAAAAAAAATTCATTGAAAACTTTAATTCATTTCTTCTGAAAGAGAATGTAAATTATTGGCATATTTGTGGATCATACCTCTATATTTTCCCTTTGTTTATTTATCATGAGTCAGAAAGCAAGAAAAATTTTTGAGCAGTATTGAAAAGGCAATAGAAACATTTTAATGCCATTGAAGGCTCAGCAGAAATGGAAACACTTCTGTCAGAATATAAGGGTTAAAGAAATTGTGAATCATAATAAAGATGCACAGATGTTACTTTGAACTCTAAGCCATAAATTGGCTCAGAGGCCCTCCACAAGCTGACGCTGTACCAGTCAGAGTCCTTGGTAACAAATAATAGAATCTACTTTATCCAGTTCAAGCAGAATAGGAATTTATTAAAATTAAATAAGGTAGCTCACAGAATCTTAGAAGGGGAAGAGAAGCTAGATGTGAAGGGCATCTGTCTAGGAATTCTAGCCGTCCCATGGGATTTTAAAGCGAAATGTCACTGGCACCTCTGCTCAGCAGCCCCTGCTTGGGACCAGACACCAGGAATTGCCACTGCTGCCCCTGATGAAGTGGATGTAATTGCCCCGCCACACCCAGAAGTCCGACTCTCCCCTATGTGGGGCCAACTCCTCCCAGTGCTATTTTCTAACTCGAATCTCATATGGGCAGGTCCCATTGGAAAAACTGTCACACATGGCCATCCCATGGGCAGGAGAGCCCAGAGGCGTGAGGTTTTTACCTTCCAACTTGAAAAGAACTTAGACAATGAGAAACCATCAAAATAGAGAAGATGTTCGAAGATGGTGAGTAGCCACAAAAGACAAAAGGCCAAGATGAACCCCCATCTCCCTTTTTTATCCATATTTCCTTTCCCCAAACCCTCCATTCTAAGCAGACTAATCTCTTTGTTTTTCCTGTATATCCTATATTCCAGCTCTACAATATGAGGCCTGGTTATAGGAGCTTACTCGAAATCACACAACTACTAAAAAGTAAAAAATCTGAATTTGAACCCAACACTGCCTTGAGATTCAGAATCTACATCTCAGGCATGTGTTGAGAGTAGATTTAAAGTTTATCATGCGAGGAGAGAGAGAAAAACATTGATTTGTTGTTCTACTTATTTATGCATTCATTGGTTGTTTCTTCTATGTGCCCTGACCCTGTATCAAACCTGCGACCTTGGCATATTGGGATGATGCTCTAACCAACTGAGCTACCTGGTCAGGGCTCAACAGGTATGTTTTTAATGCTCGGAATGGAGTCTTAGTTAAACCTGTTAGAACTTACGTAATGTTGGGCAAATCACTTACTTAAGAGTCTATTTGTTTATCCACAAAGCAGGAATGATGAGCATCTCACAGAGTTGATGTGATGACATTTTTGGAAATGAGACACAAACCTGGACTGGATTAGACACACAGTAAGTATCGGGTCCACACAGAAAGGAAGGAGCGTAGGATCGGGCCTTATGTTTTAAAAGAGTGTGATTACTAGCTGTGTGCTTCCCAAGGTCTCAGGAAGCCCTCCCAGCCCTCAGCCACCTGAAACACACACACACACACACACACACACACACACACACACACCTGCTCACTGATGACTGAAGTCAGGAGATGACAGGACCCATCTAAAATAAATGAAGCTGACAAGATCATGGATTGAACAACCCACGATGAGATAAAAGTGATGGTTACGAGGTCCCGCTCTGAGAGCAGATTTACAGAAGAGGAGCAAAGAAGGCAAAGGGCACTGGACTGTCCGGTGGTGGCAGGAGATGGGTACCAAAGAAGGCTGACCCTGAAGGTAAAAAGGGATGAGGTGGCTGCTGAAGTGGCCAGACATTGCTCAAAGCAACAAGCAACAAGCTCCATTTGACCAGTGTGGAGAGTGAGTAGTGAATATAAATGACCTGCAAGACCCAGAAGAAGGATCACAGGAGACTGGAAAACCTTGATGTCTGATGGGGCTGTAGCACCTTATAAGAGGAACAAAATACCCACAACTCTTGGGCCCAGGCTGTGCCAGTTAGTGGGTGTAGGGAAACAGAGGAGATTTCACTCTCTTTGAGCCTCAGGGGCAGAGGATTGAGTTCACCATCTCTGGCCTATGAAAGATCCCTGCTATGTGTAACCCCTGATTTCCTACATATTACCATACAATGAACCTTTCTCAAGAGTAACTCTATTCCTTATGATCAAAAGCAAAACAAGCCCCAAAAAAACGTAACTAAAATACCTGAGCCAGGTACCCTTGAGAGAAAGAATGGAAATGCCAAGACTTCATGAGTGTGCTCAACCACACATACTTTTTTACCTTTCTCTGTACTGTGTCCATGCTCTTCATCCCTGTCACTACCTGCTAGACTCCTAGTCATCCTCCAAGACCCAGCTTAATTATTCATTGCCTTCTCTGTGAATCCTTCCTCCCAGGACTACAAACAGGATAAGTCCCTTCTTTCCCAGTGAGAAGCTTTTATGCTTCCATCTACTACAGTGCTTACCTGTCTTTCCTACTAGGCAGTAAAATCCTCTTTTGTCTTGTCATGCTTCTCTCTGTGCTATAGGTTGTAGGCTATGGCATGCACAGTGCTCCATTAAACCTTCTAGCTCAGCAGCAAACACAATGCATGGTACACAGACTGTGCTCAACAAATGTTGATGAAGTGTCCAACAAGGACCTTGGTTCTATTTCCCCCTTGGTCGTGCTTCATCTCACTATTTGGGCACCTCTTGCATTCCACTTTCCATTTTCTTAGGTCACCTTTTTGACCCAGCCCTTGCTATGACACCAGCTGTACTCAGGAATTACCTGGCAATCTTGTAATTCAACTGTACTCACATTTCCCACATTTCTCCAACACAGCCCCATCCAGCCATCTTAACACAGATGCAAACCCAGAAGGAAAAAGAAGTAAAAATCCCATGGGACAACCCTTCACCACTCTTTCGTGTCTCAGGGCTCAATTTTAAAAGGCCCCCTAGAGGACTGTGTTCCAGTTGCTGTCATCAGTAACCAGCTAATACGTACCCTTCAACTGGCTTTCACTCCTCCCCGGTTCCATTCTGTTTAGCCACTATACCATACACACCTTGAAATTACTTCTCAAAACACACAAGCCCTCTTCTCAGGCTCTGATAAGATTCAAGTTCACAATGGTTTTCACTGGAAAGCTCAGAAGAGAACAAAATGTCCATAAAGATTACTCTTCTAGCTTCAATAGGTCAGCTTAGACTCCCAACTAGTTTCACTGTTAGGAGATTATGCAAGGAGTCAGCACCTAACCGGTTCTTGTGGCTAGAAAAACACAAACCTATTAGTCCCAGAGAGGACAACAGTACCAATTTCGTAAGATGTTAGCCTGAAAGACCACCTTTGTGCAGGGAGGCCATCTCAGGCATCTAACTTGGCATGGTATCCATAGCAAGGTAAATTAATCCCCTCTTATAAAGATGGCCCACTTATAGTTAGAGCTCAATCCTTTCAGATTGTGGCTCTCAACCACCTGGAGACCTGTGTGGCTTTTGCAAGAGCCCATAATAATTTATATAAGCACTGTGCCTTGTCTGCAGAGAGAACAGATGTCTCATATGGCTACCTGGGTATATAGATGTGTTGTGATTAATGTAATAAAAATTCATTCAAGAATGTTACTGATTTCAGCTGGTATATATTTTTCTTGGCTAATAATACATATCCTATCAGGATGGTTAACTGCAAATTACTTTAACATCATGAAGGGATGTCCATATTCCAAGAGTTTGACAACTCGGTGTTTTAAGTGATGTTAATATAAAATAGTCGCTTCTCTACACTGAGTGCCTATATGCATTATCCTAAACCTCTTAATAATCCTCAATAAAGTATTATTTGTCTCATTTTAAATTAAGAAAACAGATTCAGAATGGGTCAGGGACTTGCTTAAGGCCACAGAGATAATAAGTGATAAAGCTAAGATCAAACCCCAGGCCTATGAGACCTTATTGTCACCGTCATTCATTCATCCATCCACTCATTGAACAGGCACATTTGGGGACATGGCATGTGTCATACACTTTGGGTGAACATAGTCCTTGCGTAGCCCCTGCTCCTCCAAACATTTTCCTCTGCCAATGTAATTCAATTATTCTGTCTTTCTGTTCAGCTCAAGCAGGTTTAAAGTGTAACAGAATCTGACCTTCTCTCTTAACTTATTTTCACAACCCCTAAGACCCATCCTGCCTATCCTTTTTCAAGGATTTCTTGCTCTTTTATCATCTGTTTGTTTTCTGGCCTTTTTTTTTTTTTTTTTTTTTTTTTGCACAGCTACAAAGAAAGCTGAAAGAAGAAGCAAGCCCAGTGACTCAAGTCTCTCCTGCCACCCCAATTTCTTCCTTTTGCCTGGGAGAAGAGCTAGGTCTACAGGGAGGAATCAAAAACAGGGCCTCATCACGCTTCCTAGGCACAAAGTGGGGTCAAGCAAGAAGTGCGTGGTTGCCTTTTCCAGATGTGCCCTTTTAGTTTCAAAACCAGGGAGGCATGCTTCCATCCCCAATTCCCACTAAGTAACTGCTAAACTAGGGCAACTTCTCCCTTAAAATGCCACCAGTGATCAAACCCAGAAAACCCAGGTAGCCATCAACCTTGCCACTTACCAGAATGACTGTCAGCC